CCCCCCAATACCGGTCTCAGTCCCCATATCCTGCACTTCATCGAAACAAATTCAACCCGTCTTCAGCCGATAGACTGGCTGTAAACTCACCTCTCTTATTGGTGGGTCCCGTTCATCTATCTCACGGCAAGGTTCCTGATAGCCTGCCTCGGTACCTTGGGTCGTTGTGATAGCGCCTTCTACGCATCATATCAGACACATGCTGACTTGATGTCATTTGAATGGAACAGTCCTTGACGCGGCACATTGTACAAATTTGAAAGGTCAAAGATCGCGCAGACGCGATCTACGGTCAGTCGTCATAAGATTGACGCAACCTCGCTTCCTTCGCAATTTCCCGCGCGTCGCAACTTCCCCTCAACTCCGAGACCAGTCAACGCTCTGGTCTGTGAAGAGTTTCTGAATAACAGAATGCCATTGGATGCTATGGTCGGACAAGATCGGGACTATAGCCCGAAAGTGGTGGACCTTGCTAGTATCCACGAAATTCCGGGAAATATGCCTGGTGAGTTTGGCTGAGACAAGTCCCTATGTGCAATTCTTACCCATATATATAGTTCCAAAGGACTCAAAGAAGCAGACTGACCTTAGCGGTCAAATGGGCGCCAATGGCAATATCCCACCTCCTAAAACAGACAAGCCTCGGCCCCACGTCTGCACCACTTGCGGTCGCTCGTTTGCGCGATTGGAGCACCTCAAGCGCCACGAGCGCTCGCACACAAAAGAAAAGCCATTTGAGTGTCCAGATTGCGCCCGGTGCTTCGCTCGGCGAGATTTGCTCCTGCGACACCAGCAGAAGTTACACATGACCACCACACCGTCTTCTCGACCGAGAAACGGTCGCCGTGAGAGCACCGGCGCCGCACCCGGTACCAACCGGGTTCGCAAGAACTCCATTGCCAATAATAGTTCGTCTTCTTCGATGCGCCCGAGGGCCAACACCATCAGCCATGTTGATGGAGCGGCTTTGGGTATATCCGGTGCCGGCAATCCGTCATCTGCGCCCACTCAACCGGGTCACGCATATCACCCTAGCCTTAGTTCTTCAGTTGGCTCAAGCATGGATTATAGAGGATTTGGCTCTGGACCCACTTCGATAAACGGCCTTTCGAAGATTGAAACTTCTGGACTTCCCATGGACATGTCCGGAGGACTTCGAACTGCTCCCGTGTATGGGAGCTTTGATACGGGCATCGATGGCATGCTGATGGGTCACGGTAGCACCATCAACCCGGCGCAATTACACTTTGCAGGATCCCCGCATGGCTTCAACGATTCGCCCTCGTCTCCTTTCGGTCACTATCACAACGGTCTTCCACCCTCTGCGGATCCCATGATGGATGAAGATATGCACTTTGACTGGATGAATGGGTTTGACACAGGCGTGGTTATGGGAAACGGCAACGACTCGGTCATCGACGAGTCCTCGCCATCGGCAATGAGCACGGGTAGTCAGAGTGGAATCAGCGAGGCCATGCTGGATGGCCCGAATCGCATTCCCATCTCTAACGGTTGGCACAACCCATTCCCTGCTCACCACCCAGCCAACCAGTTCGCGATTGATTTTTCCCCGACGACGTTGAATGATCTGGGAATCCCGCCAGAGACAGTGTCACCCAAGTCTTTAATGGCTCAGAATCCGTTTTCTGAGACGTATGCCACGCCTCCATCTATGACCTCGGTCGGCCAGCCCGCCATGGGAGGACATTCTCAGAGTATGTTTTCCTCTCTGGCAACAAACGGAGAATCTCCTAATCCTCTCAACGTTCCTCTCCCGAATAGTGCCCTACGAAATGAACATTCACCAGTCTCAACGGATACATTTACAGACTCCACACGACATGCTCTATTAGCGAGCATGTCGACCCCCACTGGCTTCAATCATCGCAAGTATTCCCAACCCGCAAGTGGACCTCGAAACAGTCGCGAGTTGTTCGGCCGCTCGACTGGCTTCAACAGCTCCGGTCAACTACCCAGCACCTCGGACTTGCGGCGCTACATCTCGGCCTACATCACCTACTTCCATCCCCACATCCCTTTTCTCCATATCCCCACCCTCAATTTCCAAGCTCCTCAATATACAAACAAAATGCGCACGCCAAGCGGACACCTCAATCTCAGCTCGACCGGCGTCGCCGGAGGCGGGGGCTGTCTGATCCTTTCCATGGCAGCTATCGGTGCTCTATACGAACGCGAACCTGCCGCCTCCAAGGATATTTTCGACGCCGCAAAAAGGATGATTCAATTGTACCTCGAAGAAAGACGAAAGGCCGACATGTCGGCTGCTCTCAATCGTCCAAAATCCTCCCGCGATAGCTCCGTACACAACACCCCGCTGTGGCTGGTACAGGCAATGCTCTTGAACGTGATATACGGCCACACCTGCGGTGACAAGACATCGGCAGACATTGCTAGCACTCACTGTGCTGCCTTGGTTAGCCTGGCACGCGCAGCGGAATTAACACATCACCTGGATCCCAATAACCTGCCGCAAGACTATCTCTCTGCCGATAGCAACGGAAGTCATTCTCCTGATGATTCGGAAAACTGGATGTCTTCGTCATTCAGTCAACCGAAAGAGCGCCGAGATTGGCTGCATTGGAAGGTTGTAGAGGAGCGGAAACGTACCCTCTACGCTATCTTTGTTCTTTCCAGCTTTCTTGTCTCTGCCTACAACCATGCACCGGCACTCACAAACTCGGAAATCCGCCTTGACCTTCCCTGTGAGGAGGATCTCTGGGCGGCCGAATCACACCAAGCGTGGAAGCAGATGGGCGGTCAAACAGCCTCGAAGAAGACATCGTCATTTTCTGCTGCTTTGACGTCTCTTCTGACCGCCAGCCAACGAGAGCAGAGTCATTCGGCAAACTTGTTCTACAACTCCGCCGATCTGTCTAATTCTGAAAACCGTCCAAGTACTTTCGGCTGCCTAGTACTCATCTATTCGCTACACAACTATATATGGGAGACTCGCCAAAGGCACACGGGCCGGCAATGGACCGCCCAGGAGACTGATGCCATGCAATACCACATTGAGCCCGCTCTACGGGCGTGGCAAGCGGCATGGGCCAGCAACCCTGTCCACAGCCTAGAGCGACCGAATCCCTTCGGCGCTGGACCTTTGTCTGCAGACAGCATTCCCCTTCTAGATTTAGCCTATGTTCGTCTGTTCGTCAATTTAGGCCGATGCAAAGAGGCATTTTGGCAACGCGATTGGAATCGTATGGCGGATGAGCTCACACGCGGCACTGAGATCTTCCAGCACCCAGATGCCACACTGAATGACGTTGTGGATCCGTCTCTTACGGGTCACATTGAGACGAGGCGAGACTCGATCGCCGACTTGAGAGTATCAGAGCTGACTCTCTCCAAGACGTCGACGCAGGGCGAGCCCATGCATGCTCTTGCCAACATCTATAAGATCGGCCAATCCAAGCGTGAAAAGCAACTGCGCAAAGCAGCGTTCTATGCAGCGGATTCCATCTCCATGTCGGATCGTCTTGGTAACACTTTTGCTGAATTCTCGTCGGACGAACTACCCATCCAGTGCGCGTTGTGTGCTCTCGATTGTGCACAGGTGCTGGCGGAGTGGATCACCACTGTTCAAGAACGGGTGGGCCCCTACCTTGGTATCCTAGGCCGTGAGGATGCAGATTTGACTCAGGTACCTGGAATCATGCTGCTAGAAGATGAAGATTGCAAGCTGGTGGATAAGATCAAGGAGATCCTAAGGAGCATCGAGATGAAAATGCAGCGCCAGTTCCAAAATGGCAATTCTATCTCCGCGCTGAGTGCCGTGCAACGGCTACCAAGTCTTGTGGAAGGGGGATATGGATGTAAAATATTGATTGCGACAGCAAGTCTCTTGGAACGAGCTGCTGTCTGGCCAGGTGAGTTTCTGCAATTCCACCTACATCCACAACCAAGACAACCAAGACGATTCTCTAACATCTACCCGCAGTGACTAAATTGATGGCCCGTTCTCTGGAAGCCCAAGCCATGCAAATGAAGGAGCGTACCGAGCACTCCGTGATGATGACTCCTTAATGACCATCCCCCTTTCCCCCTATTATTTGGTTTAAATGTCCAACGTTTGATCCCTATCTATGTCTCCATCTCTTGTTTCCTATTTGCGCGCACCCCTGTATCATGAATAAATAACCCAAGGCAACACTCTCTCCTGTCCCATCGAAGCATGTGCATCTGCACCAACAACCAGCACCCGTTCCCTCCAGCTCTCGCAACATGCGCACCGCCTTTGATACCCAACTCTGAGACTTCAATAATCTGTGCCATAGACAAATTGCCTGCCCATGTCATGTCATATTTCTCCGCTTTCTAGCGTTCTTGCTTCGTTTGTAGTCCTTGTCGTGTGATGATTGAAGTGGAGTTTGGACTTGATCTTGTTTCTTCTTATTCTTGACTTGCTGATTTTGGTGGTGGGTGAAATCTCGTTTCTTTTTTTTTGCCGGTGCAGTGTTTGATTATCCAGAGTTTAACTTCGTGTGAATATGATTTATCTTCTCTTATAGAGCTACTGTCTAAGTAGTTTGTAGACTGCTAGATCACGATCCGTATGTGCCAGTTAACATGGCTATAGCTCTTCCGAGATTACCGTGATAAACTACCGTACTCGTAATAAATTTTTCTGCTTCCGACACATTAAACCCTTTTGGGGGCAAGCATTTTTTTATCAATATACAGCCCTTGAGGTGCTAGCAGGGCTCTGTCCGGTGTGAAAGGTGATGACATAATATTTCCCCACTGCCACCTGTGGGTCAGAAGGTTGCTGGGGCATCAAGCGCGTTAAGTGGTTTTCGCGTTAGGCACTCATCTCTGGCAGATACATATGCCTGGTGTCAATCGCATATGGCCTAAATCTGCGGAAGAAATGAATAAGAACCCAAAGAATCCGACCAAAGCCCCTCCATCGCAGCGTCCGACTGCCGCGGCTTTTCTATCCATCAATTTATCTCCGCTCAGCTTGGAACTCAACCCCAATGCCCTATCCACGGCCCGTCTCCCCGGTCTCCCTCGAAACTTGCGTGCCTTTACCCTCCGAGCTATATTCAGATGACCTTCTCGCCTCGGACGACGAGCTGGATGATGCTGCCCAAACTGCAAAGCGCCAGAGGGTTGAGAAATTGGCGGAGTCTTATCTCCAAGGCAAACCATTGTTGATTCTCTCTGCATCGCTGCGGGGCCCATTCAATGAGGAATGGATCAACCCGTGGAAGAAGAATAGGACGCGCGGGACTAGCGCAATGGCGAGGGTTCGCCGGGCAAATGTGCCCGAACGGGTGGTCCAGGAAACCGATTTGCGGGCACCGAAGTACCGAGAGGGTCTATCGGTTTGTAGTCGTCACCCGGAGATTCCTGTGATACCAGGCAATCTTCCTAGGACCTCGGTGCAAACTGGAGACCGTTCTTCTCCCTCCAAATCGCCAAGGAGACAATGCAAGGAGCCCACTCCGCGCCAGGGGCACATTGGACAAAATGGAGCATTGCGACGGTCTCCTACCAAATCAAAAGAACTGCCGTCGGTGACAGTGGAGGATCAATCAATAATGCCGCCTAGGACGGTGGACTGGCTGAGGAAGGATCGAAAGCTCATGAACTTCACCAAGTTCGAACCGCCGAGCTCGCCAACAATGTCCATTGCTTCTCGTCAGCCAGAGAAATCTCGTCGGCCGATGCTTCGAACTGTCCAAGTCCAGGTCCCACAGACGCCGGGATCGCCAACAAAATGCCCTCCTGTCAAAGCCATCCCAGCGAAGATGGCCCAGACTTCTCGTGCCAACTCGAACGGGCACCTATCTCCGCGGTCGATTCGATCAGCCGCCTCAAATTCACCCAAAGTTCCTACTGTTCCCAAATTATCACCATTCCAACAATATCAGCAATCTCATTCTATACAGGAAGCGTCTCTCCGAATCGTCAATTCTTCCTCTCAGCTTCCGAGGTTTGAATATCGGAGGTGGCTCCGTGAGCAATCGAGTCAACAGGAGCAGGCTTCTCCTATGCAAGATGAAAGCATCCTGCAAGAAGAGACATTTTTGCAGGAGGACAGCTATCTGAAAGAAATGTCTGCAGTCGACCCCGCACCCGCCAGTCCTAGTCCTACTAGAGATCTGGGGTTGGATCCTGCTAAACCTGAACCTGAACCTGAACCTTCGCCCTTTGAAGAAATACCAGTTCAAGATGAGGAGTCTTTGAAAAAAGATGAAAGTCACAAAACTTTGTCGAAAGAGACCAGGTTCGCAGATGAGGAAGACGTCATAGAGGACAATCTTGTCACGGATCAGGTCGCTGGGGAAGATGTCGTCGTGCAATATGCCGCAGTGGAAATTGCAAACGAGGAAGATATATCGACATTCCAAGATACAGATATCTCTGGGCCAGCAGAACAGAACACCTACGATGATCTCCCTTCTGCCCAACAAGTGCCAGCACCTTTGGGAGTGTCAGATCGGGTAACGTCATTGCACTCGACGGCTTTACCAAGAGGAGATTCAGGAAACGACTCAACTCCAAGCCCTGATACCCAGCTTTCAACCCAGGCCGCCCTTTTGCACGCCCAGAAGTCTTTTCAAGACGACCTAGATAGCCCGGAATATTGCAACCAACACACACCAAATCCGGACAGGGCAGTGCATTCACCCAATGCTTCACTTCACTCGGCAAGTGTCACTCCATTCTACCGTCTAGAGGAGTCAATTCGACGGGATCTAGAGAGGAGTTCGGAATCCACGAACAAAGACGGGATGCAAGCAATGAGCACGCAGTTCATGCTTGATGCAGCTACTCCTTTCAATTTCAGCACTGAGCAATCTGGTCAAGATCGGAGCTTGAAACCTACGAATAGAAATACGACGCAAGCAATGAATACGCAGTTCATGCTTGATGCGGCTACACCCTACATGTTCAGTACAGAGAAGAGACAGCGTCCATCTCGGCCAGACTCAGGCTCACCTACAGCGAGAAACTTCAAGCGAAAAAGGCCATCATCCGATTTGGGAAGCCCCTCCTCTTCTAATAGGAGTCAATCAACATCCCTCGAAAACGGATATCACACTGCGGAATCCCAATCAGGGGATGATGAAGAAAATTCCCAACCATCGGCCCAACGGACGGATCGTCAACCAAACTATCAATATGCCACAGAGGCTGCGTCCTTGCCCCTCACCCTGAGCGAATCAGTGCCTACAACAGTCCAGGATGGACAAGGTGTTCACCAGGGAATGGAGAGCTTCAACCTCAGTCAGGCAATTGCAGATGCTGGTAGTTGGCTTCAACAAAGTTTTGATTTCACGAAGGACAGCGGTCGACCAAGTCAGAACCGCAAAGCGATTCCTACGCCTGACGCGCAACCTTCCCCTTTACACATGGATTTATCTCACTAACGAGAGTTCCTTGATGCTTTTACGACTCTGTTTTCTACTTCTTGTTGTTCCCATTTTACCATCATCCATAGCGTGTGGAAAGCTTCAGCGTGGTTGCGAAGTTGATTCGGGCTCATAGTTGTAACATATCAGTACATTTTCTTTCAACAATATATATTGATTCTAAATATTGCATGGCCTATGTATATAGACCTGAAATCAAAGCTACAAACCGCACCGGAAATGAGTTTTCATTTGGGCAGCAAAGCAGAAGAGAACGCCGTCCTGGCAGCCGTAATCGACGTCGAGAACCAAGTGGTCCAAGCGCCAGCGGGGAGAGCTCCGAACCGCATCGTCACCTTCCACACATTTCAATTTATGGCGAGCCGAGATGGCGCTGACATCAGTAAGAGGATAGTTTTTCCTACTGATGAATCAAATCTGATAGAAGCAACAGTGGAAAGCATTCAACTTCATCGACGTGTCGCCGGTGAAGCTACCAGAAGACAGCTCCTCTATCTTCAATGTAAGGGCGATTTTTCTTTGCTTCAGCCCACGACGTATCTAACAGTCACCTCTAGAGTGACCTTTCGAGTATCTGCACCGGCTCCGCGAACGTCTTTGTCGGCACTACCGATGGCTTCGTCCACATCGTCTCCTCGGCCTTCCGCGTCGTGCGATCGTTCAAGGCTCACGATACCGGCTCCATTACGCACATGCGACAGATAAATGACACTGCCATGCTAGTTACTGTTGCGGAGGATCTTTACAATGAGCCGGTTCTGAAAGTCTGGGCGCTGGATACGGAAAAGAAAAATGGTGATCCACGTTGTCTGTCAACAGTCTCCGTGCAAAATGCCAGGAGACAATTCCCGGTGCGTTTGGACCTGATGCGAGAACAATTGAGGTCAATAAATTACTTACAGTGGTATAGATATCGGCTTTTGCAGCCGTCGACGACCTCTCACAGGTAGCAGTAGGTTTTGCGAACGGATCCGTGACGATCATCCGAGGCGACCTAATCCACGACCGAGGTGCGCGACAACGGATCGTATTCGAATCCGAGGAGCCAATTACGGGACTCGAAACGCAAACCGGCGTCATCACGACCCTCTATATTTCAACAACGAGCCGCATCTTGACATTGGTCATCGCCGGGCGAGGACAGGGCCAGCCTGCGCGCGTTTTGGAAGATGCGGGCTGTGGCTTGGGATGCATGACTCTGGATAGAGAGGGCGGCGAAATTCTAATTGCTCGGGATGAGGCGATCTGTACATACGGCCCGCGTGGTCGTGGTGCGAGCTATGCGTTCGAGGGCCCGAAGACATCTATTGATGCTTTTCGTGACTATGTGGCTCTCGTCTGTCCTCCCAAGGCTGGGAGTAGCAAGTCTGATCCGCTAAGGAAGTACACTGCTAATCCGGCAGAGGAAATTTTTGGCACGACCACGTTCACTCTTCTCGATACTGATCTCAAGTTCATCGCGCATAGCGAAGCGCTTATGTCACCCATGAAACGTGTTTTCATGGAATGGGGTGACTTGTATCTTCTTACGACAGATGGCAAGGTATGCAGATGCTATGAAGTTGTGTTGGTCTTTCTTTTGACCCGTTTTAGATCTTCCGTTATCGGGAAAAAACCCTCCAGCAAAAGCTCGAGATCCTATATGAACGCAATCTCTACATCCTTGCTATCAATCTTGGGCAAAAGATTGGGATTGATCCGCTACAACAGAATGTCATCTACCGCAAGTATGGTGACTTTTTGTACCAGCGGGGCGACTATGATACCGCTATGCAACAGTATCTCCGGGCCATTGATAACACTGAACCCTCTCAGGTCATTCGCAAGGTCAGCATGGATCGGGAGTCGATAATGTTCTATTTTTAACCGTACCTGCAGTACCTGGACACCCAACGTATTCACAATTTGATTGAGTACCTTGAAGAGCTACACGACCATGGCCGTGCCACGGTTGATCACACAACGCTTCTTTTGAACTGCTACGCAAAGCTCAAAGACACAAGCAAGCTAGACTCGTTTATCAAAGCTCCTGGCGAGCTGAAATTTGATCTTGAAACTGCGATTGCAATGTGCCGTCAAGGCGGATACTATGAGCAAGCAGCCTACCTTGCAACAAAGCATGGTGAGAATGAAATGGTAGTTGATATCCTAATCGAAGACTCCAAGAAGTACGCTGAGGCAGTGGAATACATTTGGCGGCTAGATCCCGAAGTGGTATGTCTCAACTGTGTCATCTGCGGAAACAAGCTAATCAACGCTAGGCCTATCAAAATTTGATGAAGTACGCTCGTGTATTACTGACACATTGCCCTGAGCGGACGTCAGAACTTTTCAAGGTTTACTATTCTGGCCAGTTCCGGCCACGCACGGAGGTAGAACAACCATCAGAGCCCGAAGAACAGGCGACTAGCACTGTGCAAAGTCTTGCTGCGCTTCTTCCTTTGCGGTATATGAATGTTGGCACCAGCACTCAACTATCGGCTGGTATTCCCGAGCCAGCGATAGATGAAAATAAGGTTGAAGATTCTCTACCATATTATGACATTCCCAAGCCGCGAACAGCTTTCTCTGCATTTGTGGACCACCCCAAAGAGTTCATCGATTTCCTTGAGACTTTGGTGCAGCAGCCGGACTTGAAGCAGGATGCCAAAGTTGATCTGTTCACAACACTGTTTGAGATGTACCTGGACACAGCAAAGAGGAAGAAGGATGCAGGCGAAAGACAGGAATGGGAGACAAAAGCCAAGAAACTGATCGAAGGGAAAGACGTGAGTTATCCCGTCGTTTATTTATCACCACTTGTATCTAATCCACATAGATCCCGATCTCTACATCCAACGTGCTTCTTCTCTCCGACCTGTCAAATTTCAGAGAAGGATCTACTCTTGTCCGCGAGCAAGAAGGTCTCCGCCTCGACATTTTCCGTTCATTCACATCAGCAAAGGATACACAGGGCGCAATCAAAGCGCTACACCGGTACGGACCCGACGAGCCCCAACTCTACGTCGACGCATTGACATACTTCGCCTCGAGCCCGAAAGTCCTCGAAGAAGCAGGTGACGAGCTAGACGCAGTCCTGCAGCACATCGATCAAGACGGCATCCTCTCCCCATTGCAGGTGATCCAAGCGCTCAGCAACAACGCAGTAGTAACAATGGGCCGCGTGAAGAAGTACCTCAGCGATAACATCGACCGTGAACGCAAAGAAATCACCACAGTAAGCCTCTCACCCATATTCAACGAATAGCAAAACTAACCTGATTTCTCTCCCCAGAACCGTCGCCTGGTCACAAGCTACAAATCCGAAACCGAAATCAAAAAGCAAGAACTAGACAACCTAAGCACCCAACCAGTAGTCTTCCAATCTCGCCGCTGCCAATCCTGCGGTGGAACCCTCGATCTACCCACAGTCCACTTCCTCTGCAGGCACTCCTTCCACGAGCGCTGTCTCAACAACCTCGACAACGACGCGCAGTGTCCCGTCTGCGCCCCGGCGAATGCGACCCTGCGCGCTATCCGACAACGACAGGTTGATTCCGCGGACCAGCATGATTTGTTCAAGTCGGAGCTGTCTCGCTCGCGGGATCGGTTTGGAGTTGTTAGTGAGTTTTTCGGGAGGGGTATTATGAGGCCGCAAAGCACTATGGAGTAGGAGCATGAATGGAATGAAATGCACTTTGCTTGGATGTGTTTTGCTGGTTCTTTTCTTGGGCTTGTTTTATATGGAGCTGGTTTTATTCGTTTGATACCTCGATCTTTGTCCACCAGAACAGGTTGATCTTTTATCTGAATAGTAAATATGGTAAAAAGTAGGAGTAGAAGGCAGATCTTAACAAGCGTGAATTTATATTGCTTCCAACGTTGTCTGCAGGTATTTACATTTTGACGACTACTTGGAAGAGAGAGTAGTTTGAACAAAAACGAGAATTATGTCCATGAAAAGAATGCATTGTATGTATGGTAAAGCTCGCTTCGCTCTAGCAAATAACAGCAGCGAGCCACAATAAAGAAATCATAAACTCAATAATATGGACAAGTCAATCATGGTAATCAAGCAAGGTCGTTACATGCAAGAGCAGTTAATATGCACAGCGGAGGTGATAAGAAGATACACGAAGTTGCTGGAAGTAAAAGTGTTGAAGCAATAGAGACTGGATAGATAAATTCCCAGTATTGACTCAAGAGTTGGGAGGAATGCGCTGTCTCTTTTGTATGGCCGAATACGACAATCAAATGAAGAACAGGATATAAATCCAAGTCAAGAGCTTTTTTTATTCAATTGACTCTTTGGAATAGCGAGGGTGTTTGATTACAGAGACTCGCTCAGAGCTCACGTCCCTTCTCGCCTCCCCATGAAACACGCGGGATATGGCGGGAGGCAGACTGGGAGCCGGAGCCGGATCCAGATCCAGATCCAGATGGAGAAGAAAAGTCAAATGGCTTGTGCATTTCAGGGTTCTGGTTCTTGCTCGTGGTCTGGCTCGACTGGCCATTCTCGCTCTCCTCGACGTCCGAGTCTTCCTCTAGGATGGCATTGTCATCCGACTCCGAGCCATCATCGTTCTCGGACTCGTCACCTTCTACGCCAAGGGCAGCCAGACGGCGGCGACGCTCGGCAGGGGTCTCGCCTGTGTCGTCGTCGGCCTGCCGTGGGGGCGCGGTCAGACCAGCGGCTTGTCGGAGACGCGACGGTGGGATTCGCTCTGTACCATCGTCGTCGGAATCGCGACGAGGCCGGTCCCGCATACGGGGTGGCGCAGGGCTGAGGTTGTTTCGGCGTTCTTGGGCGGCAGAGGTGCCGCCGCTACGTGAGAACTTCGCTAGCGAGGCAGCCACGTTCGGAGAACCATGGTGGCCTCCATACTCGTCATCGGTGACATCGCTATCGGTGACGGACTCGGAGTCTAGAGCTTCGGTGTCTTCGGGGATGGCGCTAGTGCCGATGGTAGCGGCAATAGCGGCGGCAGAAAGGCGGTGCTCTTGCTTCTTCTCGGCCT